GCGATAGTGCGACAATCGAGGGGTGGATTACAAGCTGTTCGAGTAAGAGGGAGAGGGGGAGGAAAGTGTTATGACGAACGGGGGAGAGGAAGTGAAAAATCGCTATTCACCCCCTCCCCCCCCGCCTCTCCAGTTGACCGCCCTGGATCCGCCTACGCCACTTTTTCACCCTCAATTCCAGCTCGTGTATTTTGTGGGGTAGAAACAGCAGTAAGGCAGACGGTTCACATTCCAGCAGTTTCAAGCAGATTGACAAAAAAACCATGGCCAGCTAAGCTTTTGCGATCCTAAGGTAGAGAGACGATAGCAGCTTGATAAGCTAAGACATCATCTGTTCTTGTCTTGGCCAAGAAGTAAATATGCGCGAGAATCTCCAGCTTGAGGCTATACATCGAAGGGGTACTATCAGTGTAGTTCTCAAAAAACTAAACTAAAACAATGAAACTTACAAACACTGGCATCGGAAAGTACCACCATAATGAATGTATTACAAGTGAAACTGTCAATAAATGCTGCAAATTTGCTATTCCTCACACACATGCAATCGAACTGTGAACCCAATTTGCTGAAAATGTTAAAATTTTCCACTGAATGCATGTATGAGTGTAATTAATCATAGTATTATCCATCTCAGTATCGAAAAGGCTGAAGAAATTGCCAGTTGCACCAGTGATGAAGAAGGAACCGACAGAAAACAGTTTTCTAAGAAATGAGAACACTTTCAATTAGAAAAATGATGATAAGTGGGGAAAAACCGCTTTCGTGGGTATTTATAAAAGAGAATTCGACTGAAGAGGCTGGACCTGCAGGAGAGCTTGAACTGCTTGATGATATTTGATACTTTTTCAAAACGATGAATATCTTTGTGTTCAACAGTCTGTGCCTGTGCTATCACAAGAAAAGTTGCCTTCTCGAACAACATCACCTGCAAAATGAGGGAGAATGCGTAATAAAATAGAACACGGTGAAACTCTTTCACGTATTCAATCCATAAAACCATATAAGAGAAAGTGCATGTGCTTTTTACAAAACATAAATCGAGGTAAGCATGGGACGAAATTGAATTCCTGTATTCAAACCTTCCCCTCGATCGCTATACGAAACCGAATGGAAGAAGTGTTATGCCCACCCAACTACTGCCTATGTTTGTCGTGAACGGAGCCCTTTCTCGAAAACTGCCCTGGACCAAGAGGGAATTGAACCATTCTCCCTCACGTCCGAACGTAACCTGTTACCACTACACCACCGGTTCTTGTGCTCTAAGTTCAGCCGGGCAACACATCCACTGTGTATCTGCCTTTCAAAGCAAAACACACCCTCTTTTTCTTTATGGCAGATTCTTGGCCGACTTTCCGCGATTTTCTGCGACAGTGTCTCGATTGCTATATGAAACCGAATGGAAGGAGTGTTATGTCCACTGAACTGTGTATGTTTGTCGTGAACGGAGCCTTCTTCGAAAACTGCTTTGGACCAGGAGGGAATCGAACCATTCTCGTTCACGTCCGGATGTAGCGTGTTACCACTGCACCACCCGTCCTTGCGCGCCCAAGTCCAGCCAGGCAGCACATCCACTGTGTATCTGCCTTTCAAGGCAAGACACACCCTCTTTTTCTTTGTGACAGCTTCTTGGCCAGCTTTTCGCGATTTCCCGTGACAATGCTCGCGCACTTGACAGTTCCCATCCTCGTGTAAGATTTCTGTTTATCCAAAAAAGACTACTGCATTTCCCTAATTACAAAATAAATTTCGTGGCGCAGCGAACCTCATCAGCGTCCAAAATCACAGCGAACTGCTGAAGTTTGGCTTCCATCGACGCAACGTTAGGCACCAATTGACATACAATCGCTGACCACGCCTGATAAACTTCGACTAAACATTATTTTGACAAATGTAGCATAATGTTCAACACTTCAACGGAACAGCAAATTCGAAGGAAAACGAGTGGAACAACACCTTATAAAGCGTTTCATCCCAAATTGATGACCTGTAACATTTCTTGACGGCATTTTCACGTTTCAGCTTGACAGCAGCAGCCTCTGAGCGAAGCATTATATCGCGTTCCTTCTCCGCAAACACCTGAAAAATGGATCGCATATTTCATTTTCCACTTATAAATCAAACCTGGCAAAATTATAATCCGTCAATAACTGCCAACTCATGCATGACCTGACTTGGAACCACAAAATCGACCAGTCTACTTGTAGTGAAAAGAAGGGGGTAACGATATTTTTAAAGTGGAAAATAAGAAAAGCTTTAGACAGGTATGAAAAAAAGAAACACACTAAAATTACCCACATTTAAAGAAAATAACAAGTAAAAATCACTACTTGATTCTGATACCACTGCCTTCCATTCCGTAAGACAGTATTACCAAAATCAAGCAAATTTTTTTTAAAAAATAAGAAAATTAAGAACAACTACACAGAAACTGAATTCTTGATGATTTTCGACCCAAATCTTCAAAAGAGAAAAATTTGCTCCCTCATAAAGCCAAGAAAAATTCTTGTAATCTTAGCAAATTTTATAAAGACTGCTGATTTCTCGTGGTTTTTCGTAATATTTTACTGGAATTTCGTTTTCTTCTGAATTCATGAAATAACTAACTTTGTCTCTGTGTTCCTCGGAAACAAGATCCATTTTATGTATCAAACAAAAAACTTTCGCATTTGGTGAATTTTGCATCAGTGCCTCCAAACATGATTGATAATAACGATAGTCTTTATCGAGTTCACGACTCTCCACATCGAAGACATAAATAAGTACCTAAAAATCGGAAAATGTACTGGAAGTCAGCTCGAGCTAGCAACGTGTGGCATAAAATTTACAAAAATTACTGCTGTTCCCTTTCTAACTCCCTCGCTTTGTTTCCTGTGTAACAGCTTTCACTGCGTGACCTATCACGGGAGGGAAAGGGTAAAATGGACAATTTTTAATTAACTTTTACCAATTTTTACTTAACTGCATACCAACTCCCCTGGTCAAGAAAAAAATAAGGAAAATAAGCCGAAAAGAGTAAAATTGGGCCGAAAGCGACTACCCCGAGAAAGAACACACACACACACGCACACACACACGCACACACACGCACACACACTCAAGCAAACAAATGTTTTTTTTTAAGAATATCTAATCGCACCCACTTGAACATTTTTAAAAATCTGATCTTTCTGCGAGACGAGGTAGTTCTCCATGAATGCTTCCTGGCCACCACAGTCCCAAAGATGTAACACGAGGTTACCCAGAAACCTGTAATAACACTGCTTTATTTCAAAGCAATGAAATGCAAAATTTGTGGAAGAAACAGCAAATTATGAGTTATAAGGGACCGTGAATCGTGTACTGAATCATACGGTCAAG